TTAGATTCTCTTATGTTTCTTGAAAACCTTCATGATATGTCGTATCTTCATCCATAAATGTCAGTATAAAACTCATGTATGGCCTCAGTGAGAGTATGTCATTGCGTCACTGAGAATATGAAAGTTCTGTTAGTGACGTGTTGTTCATTTCTCCGTTTGGATGCAGCTGATGCTGATGGCATGTTCTCAGGATGGCCGATAGTAGCCCTCTCTTTCTTCCCCCTTGAGATACGAGCAGAGACAACACCTCTGTGTATCAAACCCAGGTCTCTCTGCAGCTTGTCCCAGATTGCAGCAGAGACTCATTGGTGCAGAATGGACACGCCAAACATCCCCTGGCCCTTTTACAGTAAGCCGTGTGGGAGCATGGTGTTTAAAATAAAATGACTGCATCTCAGGTTTATTTGTCTCTTGGTTACCCCGGGGACAGGTTTGAGGAGGATTTTGTTTTAGTTATTGGGGTCAAAAAGTAATGTAGGTGTCGCTATGCTCCCAAAGTGTTGTACAATACGTCAACCTTTTTTTATAATGGATTTGTGATGGGCAGTTATATGTATTTATATGCACGTACAATTCCTGCAGTTGACTATTTTAATGACAGTTTGACTTGTATCTACAGTACGTCACCATTAAATTAACATTAACCTGACTAATGTATCTATTTTTGTTCTCCTTCTTCTCAACCCCTCCTCTTTATGTGATTATTGAGGTGGACCTCTGCTCCTTAAGTCTTTCATCTCCTTTATCACCATCTCTAACCTGCTCGTCTGAACTTACTTCTGGCCATGTTTTTGATTCCCTTAATTGTGCTTTGTAGAAAAGCAAATGGTCTTGCAAAGGTTGGAGCTGATTTAAGATGCCCACCCAGTTCCCAAACTCCTAAACCTCAAGAGGACTTTATGCTTATTCCTTGTCTGTGCTTTATCTCCTCTTTATGAGGAAAGTATCCTTCTGCTCATATTTTCAGCCAGGATGTGACATTTCAAAGAGGCGTGGGGTGGGAGGGGGGTTAAAGACTGGCATAGTAAGTGCTTCCAAGGTTAAAGGTCAGGAAAGACTTGAGAGGAGGCTGCATGCTGCACTTGAGTTGACCCTTAACTTCAGTCATGTAAGACTCACAGGTGGAGCCTCGAGGTATAGAGACATCAGCTTCGGATTTCTAAGCAGCTCAAATCAGAAGACGAGACTGGAACACTGACAGTATTTCTGAAGAATCTTTTACTGAACTCTGAGCATTACATAATAGCAGGGTTGTGCACAAAGTTCTGGACCCTGCAAATAGACATTGTCGATGTACCGGTCTTCCATGGCTTTTCATTCACTTGTATTTTGGAGCCGTTCTCACATAAGAGCCTTTATTTTTAGGCCTGTTTTTCATATTTGTACTCCTAATAACAGCTGATCTCTTCCCAAAACTATGTTGCATTTGTTTTATTTTTACCATGCACCTTGTTTTTGGTTCCCATCCTTTCATGCTAGTATGAAAATAAACATTTATAACCCTTTTTCTGCTTGAGATAGAACACATTTGAGATAGAAAGTGTAAGTGTTTTATTAGTAGAGATTGCTTCAGAAGATTTTGAACTGCTCTGCTACACAATGGTAATGCGTCTTTGACCCTAAAGCAGGTGTTAGCTTCACTCTGATTTATTACTTATTTTAAAGTTCTGAGGAAAATCATTTTCGGAAATCCAATCATGTCTAACATGGTCAGCAGTGATATTAGATATTAAAAGTATTAAAAGGTAATGGCTTATATCACTACTGTGCTGGTATCATGTGACCACCTGAGAATGAGAAGGCCAATTTCATAAGAGTATTATCTAATGAGCAGATGCAACTGATTGAGTAATTGTGGGAACATATGGCTCAGCCTGCTCAGTTTCTGTCTCAGCTCTAATCTGCTGCTCTCTGTGAAGTGACCTGTTTATTAGAAAGAGGTGCTTCGTGTCAACAAAGGTTACAGCGGTTATGTTAATGCACTTATACTGTGATGAAGAGAATTACTGCAAAGCCTGTCCTGAATGAAGAGGATAGGCGTGTTATCAGGAGTGTTACAAAAGCCCCTCTATGCCCTGGTCAGACAATAAACTTTAAAAAAATACAACAACAACAACTTTTTTCAATACATAAAAGATTTAATAATAGGGTCTAAAAATGTTTGTAGACCCTGAAGTGAAATAATTATTTTTAGTCATCATTGCTACATTTCTTTATTGTCGAGAAGGGGTATCCAATGACCCACATTTTCAACTTTATATGACAGGTCAAATAAATCTACTCCAAACAAAATGAAAGTGGCTCACAGATATACTTACATCACATTGCTTACTTTTATTCATATGATGTATCTACACAAAAATACACGTGTTTACATGAAAAATGTCAATACCCAAGGCTCACATCAGAACATCTTAAAGTTACATCACTAGCACACTATGTCAAATGTATCTGTGTTTCAAATGTCAATGTGTCAAGTTCACATGTCCAGCATCTTGATTTCACATCAAAGTCTGAAGTAAGCATTATTAAACTTATATTCTGTATTCTCGTATCAGTGTATCACCTCCATTAATACCCCTTTTATATCCAACATATTGATTATGTCACCCTGATTGGTGTTCAGAAGAGAGGTGTAGGAAGATCACCCAATGTAGTTAAAGCAACAATTTATAACTTGTGTACTTTCAAAGTCGACCTAATACTATGATAACTTTCAACAGGGAGAATGGTGTCTATCCTCTACCGCAGAGGTCCCCAGTCGCCTGCTTTCAGCACTTTGAAACTTTGGCAGCGGGCCGCAGTTCTCTCCTGAGAAGTGCGTACGGCCTCCAGCTAAAAAGAAGCCATTTAGCCCGTTTGATACAATGGCTTTGGCTAAGAGACAGTGGTGAATGAAGCTAAGACGAGAAGAGAGAATGATCCAGCTAGAAGCCAGACTAAAGTAAATATTGGACTTCGTCAGTCAAAATGGTTCTTTGGCTTCTCACGTCTTTTCCGGTGTGAAGATGTGCAGAGACTTATGTGTATCCTATAACTTTATATTAATTCACTACTTACTCCATTGATGTATTATCAGAGTATAGGAGCAAGTTTGGGTTCAGGGGAAGTGTATCTCGATGGACAATTATCCCCTATAAAATCCCAGTACAGAATCACTTTAAAAAAAACACTATTCACTACATTTTCATTGTAAGGAAGAGAGAAGCAAGTTGTATTATCAAATTATGCTCCCTGTACTACACAGAGCCGCATGGTACCACATTTGTGTGGGTAGCACTATTCGATTGGAACACTTCCTTCACCACCCTCTGATTGTCAACAAAAGGACGTTGTCTATTGGGTAAGCAGTGAACTTAGAGACCTTCCATGGACACCAAAGCTTACCAAATCAAATTCCTCCATATTGTTGCTTTCAGTCCTTCAGTTCTGAATTTACATTTCATGACACTCATGAAAAAGCTGCTTCATAAGGTACATAAAGCCAAATAAAGACGACACCAACACCATCCAAACAAATAAAGAAAACTGGGCAGTATCACCTCAGTCCACCAACTTGCACCTTGTCATGGCCTGCTCCAGCTTTCCCGTTACTTCCCCAATGGCTTCTTGTGTTTTGCTATGTGTTTGGAAGGACACTCTAAATGATAGCTCTGATGCCGTGTTTGGCATCTTTGTTGGTTTAATGACTACTGGTTGGATTTTTTCTGTGTATTTGTGCAATCTGCAGAGAAGTTTGGTGCAGTTACTGTGGGCTTGAGCATGGGGCTGCGCATTGCTTCTTTAGCTAACTGAAAGTAAGGCTGGTACCGTAGATGAGGCAAACACACTTGTCCGTCCTATTCGCAAAAAAGTCTCCCTCTTTCTGTCCAGTGGAAATGTTAAGTTTTTTTGCTTTTTCTAGGCATGGCCAACTTTGTTTTCCATTATAAATCTGGCTAAACTGACTTGCTTATTGCACTGAACGCCTCGCTTTAGCTCAGCTAGCATACAGCGTAACCATTTGGATCTGATGATCAAAGTTGCTGTGACATTGCTGTGATGGTTAAATTCAGCTGCTGAAAAACTAGACAGGGGATTCACCTTTTTATTGACAGCTGACAGGCCTATCCTTTTTGGACACTGTCTATAAACCTCTTGGGTGAGCTACTGAGAACCTGGCAACAGCCTACCTGTAGCTCATGAGTGATTTTCCTTTGTTTAGCTACAAACATTTTATTTGCAAATGTGTGGCTGACGTTCCAAAAATAAGGACTAGTCCATTTTTAATTTTAAAATATGAAGCTAGATATCATTTTCGGGTCTGTATGTTGATATGAAGCTAACCAGTTAATTTAGGTTAGCACAAAGACAGGAAGCAGCTAGCCTGATTCTTTCCATAGAGCACCATTAGCAACGGTAATGCTTGTGTGAAAATGGCAGAGTTTGATTTAGAGAAATATATGTGTGACTTTGCCTGGCGCAGAACCTTCTGGGACATTTATGGGATGGAAGTTATCGGTGACTGTCAATGGATTTCGTAAATGGATAGAAGAATGCTTGTTGTTTCCCCCCTGTTTTCAGTCTTTATGCTAAGCTAAGATACCATTCTAAATAGCAAGGGGATTACTAAAGTCTTGGCAAGAAAGCACATACGTGTCTCTAAGAATGTGTACGTGTCCCTTTAATGTGTAGCTCAAGAGATAAACATAGATGCATATAAAGCAACAGAACATTTAATGCACAGAAGATGAACTTTAGATGGTTATTATGACTGGACAGGGGAAAAAAGAGGAGTGACTGACATCATATCTTTTAATTGTATGAATCTTTTATCTAAATGTGCATTAATGAAAAGGGACATTTATAACACATACACACCTATGTTTCTCAGGTTTAACATGGTACCATTAATAAGGAGGAAAGCTTAGTTAGCCATATCATTTCCTGCATCTGTTGTTTTTATGAAGACATATATATATTAAATACTGGATATTGAATAGAAGGAGAAGATGTGATAGTGAACTTGATCTCTTTATTTCTTATGAGTATAAATGTTGACCAGCTCAGAGAAAGCGCTTCAGCTAGAAATATATAATCATAACTGTTGTAACAGTATCCGTAATATGACTCAAGGGATATAGCCACAGAAAAACAAGGCAGTGAAAATAAATTATCTTAATAACAATAATTATAATAATAACAATAATTATAATAAACAGTCAAATCAAATTTAGAATCATAAACCTTTCTTGCTCGCTTGTTTCTTTGTGGAAAAAGTTGTCCATAAGCAAAAAGAAAAAAAAAAATCCAGCATATTTAATATTCAAAGTTGTGAAGGGGTTTCTCAGTCTGAGACGTCCCCATCAGACTCGCATATTTACAGTATTCACAGTTTATTATAAACCTGTTGGGCACATACTGAACCACACTTCAGTGGTGTAAAACTTTGCTTTACGTGTGTATGGCTGACTGACAAGAAGGAGAACATCTCTTTCGGTCTTCGTCCAACAAAATATGTACCTATAGATCAGGAGTAAACTGGTCCTTTCCTTCCATAATGCATCTGTTCTCAATCAGGAGAAAGTTCTCCAGCGTTCTTATTTGTTAACCTCTCTCCCCTCCTCTCCCTCTCAGCCCATGGCCGTAACCATGTTAGAGTGGTGCGGGTGCCCAAAGGACGGGTGTAGCGGGGTGGGCGTAGGGAGCATGTGTCCTGTGTGGCTGAAAGGCGGCAGGTGGCCCATTGACATGTGTCCGGCCAGAGAGGCTGCGCTGAAGGGAGAGCTCTTGTCATGCAGGCTTTTTGAAAACTCCTCGTAGCTGTCGCTGCACCGCTTGTTCTTTTTGGATTTGTTGGACATTTTTCGGTTGCGCGTCTGTATTCCCTCTTTTTTCATTGTCAGCGGCCGGTTCACCTGTGTAGAGGGGGGAAACGTGGGTGTTAGTGATCAGCTAAAAGTTGAGAGAAAAATATCAAACCAAGTAGAGGAAATGGTTATCCAACAGACTGAATTCAATACTTATGTCTCCATATGGCTAACAGAAGTAAAAAGATTAACATCATTTATTTTGTTATTCTTTACGTCTCCGGCTTTTTACCCAGAGACTATTTTTAGGTGGAATGTTAAACATGGCCGAATGAAAAAAAAATTTTTTTTCCAAAACATTTGTGGAGGTCAACATAAGAGAGCAAATCAGGCTTAGGCTACACATACAATACTAGCTCATGAGAACATTCATGGTTACTGGTTTTCTTCTTTATACAAATAAAAGAAATAGAATCAACCATCAGATTCATCCTTTAAAGTATGCATCATAAGTCATTTGTGACTTGAGTGATAAACAATAAACACTGAATAGCGTGAAGACGGAATCCAATCTTTATACTTATTCTGAAGTACTCCACTCTTATATCAGTTCCACCTTTGTGACTCTCAAGGAGATTGTGCCTCCAATGGAAACAAAAAACACAAAGAAAGATAACACCAACCGGTCCAACAGTCTCTCTCTCTCTCCTTCTCTCCCTCTCTCCCTCACTTATCCCTCAACAATCAGTGTAACCTTCCTGACTTTGCTTCCCGTCTACCTGACCCTGCCTGCTTTGTGCAGGCCCTATACCTGGCGATCAGCAGACACTTACATTATGCAGTTTGTAGTAGAGGCCGCAGGCATTGCACACAGGGTCTCCGTTTGCATTGCGCCTCCAGAGCGTGGTGGTGGTCGTCTGACAGTTAGCACAACAGGTGCCTGCTCGTCTGGCAGCAGACTGTGGAGAAATATGAATAAGGCTTTAAGAATCAACTTGGAAATACATTTCATAAAGTAAGAGATGACGATTCTAAATAGCTGCATGGCAGGTCACTTAAACTCATTTTGACATTTTACAGCTGTTTATTTTTGCAGTACTAACAGTGCATAATAATAAATCTTCAATCATTTATCAAGTTATCTTTGGTCATGTTCTTCTTGAAACATGACTTAAAACATCAGTTATCACTATTGTTTAACATACATATGTGTTCAATTTCATGGGGGAATCTCTTCACTATTTTGATAACAGAATTCAAACAGTCATACATTGATCTTAAGTATTTATTCAGCGCTTAAAGCTCTGATCTAAACTTGTTCAAACTCATGAGGCATGACAATTCAGATGGATTCTTTACACTTGACCATTTCATACTTTTCATACTTTTCACCACAGAAATAACACATCCATCTGCATCCAGAATCTCCTTATCCAAGTTTCATCTGACAAAACAGTTTTTAATTTTTGAGATATTCAAATTATTATTTATAGCCTAACTCACTGTGCCCATATTTCTCCTGTGAGGTCATACATCAGCGCTCATAACTTTCCCTATCGTCGTTTTAATGTTCGCTCAGTACTTTCTCTGTCACGCACTGAAAGCTTGACCACTGTGTTCGAGCTCGGAGCCTGTAGTCAGGAGTCCGCAGCAGGAAACAGGCGCTGGCCCCGCTGCTTTATCTTGACCGGTCACACATCCGGAGAGGAAACAACTGGAAGCTGCTGCTCAACGCAGCGAGCTCCGAGCCCACCGAAGCGTACGGAACATAGTCTGATATATGGCTGAGTGTGACATTATGGCAGAAAGACGCCGAAATAGTTATCGTATATTTTGTGTAGGCTAAGGCAGACAGGTGTTTGCAGGTCGGCATCGAGTACATGTCGACCCGTTTGTCGTAGTGACGTCGCCCAAAAACTGAGAGCAACTCCCGTGCGTCAAAACAGAATCACTGATCAGGTGATTCCTTTTTCTAAATTAGATATCTATGGAAGTCTTTTAATAATAATAACAGATTATGTAGTATTAATCATTTTCAACCAATAGGTCTTTTTACTGTATTCCATATCATAGCGCGATTTGTTTCTTGATTGACCGATATAGGTTACCGCTTTAGAGTAAAACGTCCCTCCATTTGAGAAGTGTGGATTTTACTTTAATACATTTTTTTTTTTATTGGTTTGTCGTCCCACTTTCCCACGTCACCCTCTGCATTCGTTTATGTTTCCTTCAAAAGAGAACAGTCTCTGTAAATGAAGGTGCTGTGAAATGAGCAGTGTCGTTTGACTCTACTTATGTCTGTAGGCTGTACTTCATTTCATGACTGCTTCCTGCTGCATTTTACTTAACTACACATAACTAGTTTTTAGTAATTAATTACAATTATATCTCACACCTTAAAATGTCCACTCCCATAACTTGGTCGCTGCACAATTGGTGAAGTGTTTACAGATTTGAGCTCTCAGATGAGCTGATATGAAATTGGCCTGACTGCACACAGCATCACTCATGTTTGAAGCAGGTCATCATGGGACATGGGACTTTAAACAGCTCCACATTTGCTCTGTCCCTTCACACAGACTCTGTATGCCCTTTGAACATTGTGTCTTCAAAACATTCACTTTCAAAGTGCTACAAAAACCTCCCTGCGTGGTTCCAGCTGATAGGAAACCCAAACCCACATAAACAAACAGCTTTTTAAGGGCTTAGAAAGATAGACAGAACATTTTCTATCCACCTTAAAATGAATAGTAAAATAAATACCTTCAGTTTATTTGAGAAAAAAAAAATCACAATCAACTAATTGTGTGTGAGCACAGCCCTGTAATGCGGTGCTTACTCTGCTATCAATGACAGTATCAGAAGCAGCAGCAATAATGATAACAGAAACAACTCAGATAGTCCCTCTGTGCTAACACGCTGAACTGAATGAGCCAGAGGTGAATGACAAACACAATTCCTGGAAACTGATTGGAAAAATATAACTTTCCTGCAATTGTGTTCCTTCTCCCACTATCCCTCCACCTTACTCTCTTTTGATTTATTAGCACACACAAACACACAAACACACAGATGTTACTAACCAGTCTGCGTTTGGGTTTGATGAGCGGTCTGTTCTGGCCGTTCATCTTGTGGTACAGGCCGCAGGCGTTGCACAGATAGTGTCCCGTGCTGTCGCGTCTCCATAGAGGGGTAGAGGTCGCTCCGCAGTTCACACACTCACGGCCCTCTGAAGAAGAACAACACACTTTGTGAGATGTGTTTGAGAAGTTCATTTTAAACCTATTGCTCAATTGTAAATCTCTATTTCATTTGGCTATCGAGCACATTTGTTGAATCCAATGATCATGTGTAGGGGTCACTATCATCTTTTACTGCCACTTATATGGAGTAACTAATGTGTGCGTGACTCAGTATTTGTGTGGACTTATTGCTTGATTAGTAATTGCATTTCCAAAATTCAGTTTAAGATAAAATGCATTTTTGAGTTAACTTTTCACCCTTGGAGAGAAATGAACCGCAAGTATAAAGTAACTTTGTTATAGTTATGCACTAGCAGAAGGACAGAAACAGCAGAGAAAGATTTACAATCATTAAATGTAACGTCAGTTAAAGCTTCAAAGCAGCATGATAGATAGAGTTGACAAAAGCAGAATAATTTAATGCAATATATAAAAACATAAATGATCTGAATGTCCAACAAACAAACAACCAATCAGGGAAACATGAAATAATGCCGGCCAGTATTTCTTCACATTTTAAACCAAGTATTCATAATATAATCACAGTAGAGTCACAACAGTAACTGTGAGAAGAAAATGTCTAACTGAATAATAAATATGTTACTCATGTTATGTTAGATAGGTCACCCTACATTATAAACGTGTCAAACACAGCCAGACTTCAGCTGGCAGCGCCCTGCTCTAATCAAATAACAATCAGGACAGGGTATTAATGTCTAATGTAACAGAGACCAGACTGGGAGCCTAAATGCTCAGGTTTTGGCTCTGTGCACCTGCGGATCTTCCTTTCACAACTCTGGGCCTGATCCAGTTCACAGTTCATCGTTGTTACAGAGTCATGCTGCACAAAGAAGGATTATCAACGTTTATCTTTGTTGAAGCGCTGTTAAGGAGTGTCCTTAGACAGCATCATTGAAAAATAGAACTGTTTTTATACATTATTCTTCTGTTGCCATTTCTAAATATCACCTGAATGTGACAATGATCAAATTACAGCCTTTAAAAGGCAGGTTTTGTAATGCAGAATAAGTCATAAGAAATCAATCTGGTTACATTGGAAATATAAGCATATTCACATCTATTACCATATGACTTTTACACTACCATTTAAGTATTCAGACAGGCAGTATGTGCATACATTTCCCCTCTGTGAATCAATATTATAAACGCTTTTCTTATCTGAAAAGAACATCTTGAAATATTTGGCTTTAATGTCAAATGTTCTTTATTTAAACAGAAAACAAGTTTAGGCCTATTCTTTAATTAGTCATGTTTAATTAACAGTTAAGTTATTTGGAAAAAAATCTTTAGATTATAATCTTCAACCATTTCAATCCTAATTATGACTTTATTATGTCTTTGTTTTTGTTCATGTATCAAATGATATAAAATCATCTGAAATTGGTGGAATATATATAACTATTATATCTTTGTAAAATATTCCCTAAAAGAACTACCAAATGATGCATACATAAGATAAAGATATTTTAGCATTACCCTTAACTACACCTGATGTGAATTTGTTTTATTTTGGTTGTTTTTTAAGTTTTGTTTTTACTGCCACCAGTCGGCTCACTAAACAGCAGACAAATGATATGCTAACTTAAAAATAGACTGAATATTTCTATACGATCTTTTGTAATCCTCCCCCCCCCCTCCTTTAGGCTACTGTTTGTGGGACTGATCTGAGGTGTGTTTCAGGTGACTCACCGGTGCAGGAGCGTGTCTTCCCCTTGTTCTTGGAGATGAAGCTGGGTGGAGTTCCCAGCAGGCTGCCGGGGTGAAACAGACTGCCGCCGTACTCGTGCGCCTGGAGAGAGTAGGGATAGGTCGGTATGGGGTGGTGGGTGGAAGGGGTGTGAGCCAGGCCGTTCCTCAGAGGAGAGGAGCCCTCCATCTTCATCCCATCCGTTAACGACACCTGGTATTTGATAGATTCCTTCTCGTCCATCCTGCTGAGGCAGGGAGACGTGGCACCGGGGTCCGGTGATACGTCCTTTGGCGGTGTGGGCGGGAATGTGTACAGAGACGGGCTGGAGTGGGACGGCGGCGTTAACGAGGAGGCTGAGACCGTGTTTGAGGTGCTGCTGCACGGGTAGACTGCAGAGAGGCCAGCGGGGGACGCGGAGCCTGGGTGATGCAGGCTTGGCTTGCTGAAGGGGCTGACGGCCCAGGCGTTGTGGTGGTGGAGGCCTGACAGGGCTGCTTTCCCTCCGTCCAGCCATGAAATCCCCGGGCTGTGGAGGATTTGAGGCCGGCAGACCTGAGTCCCCGTCAGACGCGCTGAAAAATAATCCACAAATTGAATAATTATTACAAACAGACAGAAAGATTAAGTGGCTATTACAATAGGCCTAACATGTGAGGTGTTTCGTAGCATGCAAAAAAAAACAAAAACTACCATTATATTCATCGATAGCTACATTTTCCCGATCTTGATGTGTAAAGAAAGTCACCTTAATTTACAAAAAGAAAAAAACGATCTGCTATTTCCTGAACTTGTTAGTAAGTGCTATTAAAATAGTCCGAGTCCCTTGCATGTGTGCAAATTTCCTTTAGGCCTATCTACTCTTTCCGATCTCAAGATTATTTTCTTTTTCATAAAAGGGACAACTCAAAATTATTAAAAAAAAAAAAAAACTCAATAGGGAATTAATATAATTATACAAAAGTGCAGAGAAAACCTCATTTTTTTTATCAACGTGTTAAACTGCAGAAAATGACACGTTCAGTGGGTTAAATAGATTTTTTTTGTTAAAATCTTAATTCTATTGGAAGAAAATATATTTTTTTAAAACTTCACTATGTAGACAGTTTTTATTCATGAAAAAAAAAAAAACTTTCCATGAATAACTTTTATTTCTCATCAATGTTTGCACTGTTGGTAGCTCCATCTTACCGTGCGCTTGGCTGTAGGACACCCTGGCCCGGGCGGAGTTGTGGTAATACGGGTTTCCCTGCGAGTCCAGGTGATTAAAGAAAACGTCCACCTCATCCGGAGGCAGCAGCTGCGCCTGAGGCTCCATGTAGTTGTGACCCAGGCCGTGGTGGTGTGAGTCCGGGTGCTGCCCGTTTAGCACGGCGTGGTGGTGCATCCAGCGGGGCTGATCAGCCGCCACATCCATCTCTGCGTGGGGCTTTACAGTGCTTCACAGTGAGCAAATATCCAGCAGAGGACACCGAATGAGAGGCTGTGGAGTCCTTTATGATATCTTCACTTTGTCCATTTACAGTAGAAGAATTATTATCTTTTTTTTCCCCGTTCTGATTAAATTCCTCTCTTTTCCTGGAGCCTGTACGTGAAGTTTAACACTGGAAACCTGCAACAAGCAAACATCACATGTTAATGTTTTAAAGGCTGTAGCCATAGTGTTTTGTTTCTTAACATCACTTGTCTTTATACCGAGATAGCTTCACGATGGATAGTTAACTTTACTACATCACTCTCTTTACACCTATACAACCCACTTTGTCTTATTGCACAAAATACTTCACTGAATACAGGAAAACAAACCTTGCACACCGTACCTTAGTTGGTTTTATTTTATCCACAGGTTTCGGTCAACTCCTCCTTGGAAAACTATTCTTGTGTCCCTTTCGGCTGCAGCAGGTCCTCTCCTGTCTTCAGCTGCTGTTTGTCAGAGTAAACTCCGTCCGCTGGGACTTACAGCAACACGTATAAATGTGTGTGACAGCGCGGGGCCAGGCTTGTCAAGCTGGTGGGCGGAGCTTTGATGAAAGCTTCTTCTCAGTCAATCACACAGCAGTTTCTGCTGAGGCGGGTCCAGAGAGCTCAGAGTCACTACGATGTTTTGTCATATTCATTCAGAGAAGGTGGAGGGTCTGCTTTAGGCCTTATTGTGACTTTGATGTAGACCACTTTATGTCATTTAATATTTTATTACCATGGTAATATCCCCTGAGGAGGAGTATCATTTTAAAATGAACTGGCTTTTTCAAAACATATTTATAGTTTATTAGTCTATGAGTTGGCCCAGCCTGCAACCACACACCACTTTAATAATCTAAGAAATATATCTGGCTACACTGGATTTCATTTGAAGATGTAACAGAGGAAGTGAAGCTGCAACACGTGTCACTGCATCTTTTTGTATAGCCACTTACTCTTACATTAGTTCATTCCCTCCCAGGACACTTTAATTCTAAAATGTATGTTCGCGTCTTTAAGGTGCCAAAGTGTCCCAAATAGAATAAATAAATAAAAATAAAGATTTTTTTTTAATCCGTGTTCTATTATCAATGTGCAGATATAAGAATATTACGTTGAAATAAAATACCTGCTGCACTGATGATATGTTTTGTTATAGATCATTTAACCATCAAATTATTAGGCTAAAGGCTTTTTTTGCAGTCATTTATTGTGAGTATTTTTGGACTCATTCTTGGTCTGTTGTTGGTCGTTTAATAGCTTAAGTTCAGGCTGCATTCTAGAAATGTAACTCTCCCTCTCTCTCTCTCTCTCTCTCTCTCTCTCTCACACACACACACACACACACACACACACACACACACACGCGCGCACGCTCACTCTTTCTCCCCCTCGAGCATGATTGACAGACAATAATTGGAGAGAAGGCGCGTGCAGCCCCGGCCGGCCAGCTCTGCCGCCTGCTTGACGCCGTTTCCTGACGTCAGTGCATCTCAGTGGAGAAAAAAAGAAAATAGAATCAGGACATGAACTTTTAGAGGGACAGAGAGAGAGTGTGTGTGTGTGTGTGTGTGTGTGGGGGGGGGGGGGGGGAGTCTTCTAGTCCCATCGGATGAACTCAAGGAAGTGATATTTACACTGTGGTAGCATTAATAATACATTAGTAGGCCTTCATCCCAAACCCTGCTGTGATTACTAAGAACATATCAACAAGCAGTGCGTGGCAAACAATAGCTAAGGTTATTTGAGATCAGATTTGATAAGAATAGATTGCAATAAAGAAAAATTCCAAAACTGAGATGTTGTGATTAAGGAAATTCTGCAAACATGTAAGTGACCTAACAGTAGGCTACATCACACAAAAACAAGTCAAAGCGGTTTCGCATAGTCTTCTTATCTTACACTATTTACACTCTCTCAACAGTTAAACAATAAAAGAAGATCTTGCTCCAGCTGCGTATAGTGTTTGTTTCTCCCTCAAGCCTGAGTGTTACACAATCCAACAGGTCAGTTTTGGATTTTTTTTTTTAATTGATCCTCCATCCAGCCAAGTAGCCAAGTCATCCATTTCAGCAAAACTATCGGCCTATCTGATAAGAAAGGCCCAACTGGTCAAGGGAGATGGGGTGTTCACCAATAATGGGTTTCTGCCTCTTTTGGTTTCCTGCCATTTTTGTAAAGTGTCATGAGATAGGTTTTGTTGTGATTTGGCAATATATGTATGAGGAGACAAACGTTTTGGCACGCTCTAATATGATTTAAGTCCCTCATTTGATCTATTTTTCTTTGTAAAACTGTGTAACTTCACTTGATAGATGAGTTTAAATCAATGAGCATCAAGTACCAACACTTGTTTCTCTCCGCATGTTTGTAGGGCAGGTGCAAATGTCACTTAGATAAATAAAGGGATCTATCTATCTATCTATCTATCTATCTATCTATTTTAAACAATAAATACGATAGCCTAATTATTTGATAATGTATTTATTGGTCCTACTTCCTGTCAATGATAAACAGTCAAGTTTATCTTAAAAAATACACTCTGATGTATAGAAGTGAATGTCATTATTTATTCAGGGAAAACGCTTCTTTTCAGGCGGTATTAATGGATAAACTCCCTCTTCTATAGAGTGGAGAAAGCAGAGCACAGCGGAGGGACAAGTGCGTCAGTATTAGAGCTCATCAGCATGATAATGTGCAAATACACATGCTTTGAGTGTGAGCCCTTTTGATCTGGCGTGCCGATAAAAACCTTATCGGCAGAGAACATCCACTTCCATTTTAGGATTTGACATTAATTCAATCCGCCCTTTTTAACTGCTCTTTTTTCTCTCACACGAGCTCAGGAGAGAGAGGTCGCAGCTCCGAGAATCTCATTACAGAGCTGCCATTGAAAGAAATGATTTACCTTGCCAAATAATAAAGATTTAAAAAAGAAAAAAAAAAAGAAAATTCAAACGTCACTGATTAAAATAGACAGAATAAAATGTTTTATTTGTTTCAAGCAAATATAAATAACTCTGATCAGATGTTGGTCTGTGTTGCCCCTTTTTTTTAATTTGGTTTAGTTTTGACATTTTGTGCTCTTTGTCTTTTAAAATAATTGTTTTCTATTTAAATGATCGTGTTGTGCTTGGAAAGGGAAATCCAATGCTGCTAGGATCCTTGGGTCGTTGTGATTATCACCCAGCCCGGGGTAATTTTTCATCGGTGCTGGCTAATCTTTGTTCTTTGTGCAGATAATAAATAGCCTAATCGTTATCTGCGAGCTGCTGGAGGTGTCGGGGAGAAAGGGGGCTGATCGGGCCGGGAAATAGGCTCCAAAGTGCCGCGGAATAAATGGCATTTCTTATCTCTCTCCCCCAGATTATCGCCGCCTTTTCAACACGTGCACAACAAATAGATCTAATGCAGGGAATGCATCATTTACTGGAGCAGATCCGTGCAAATGATAGATGCATAGATAGAGGAAGAGAGGCCGTATGGTGTTGGCTGTGTTCTTTAGAGGTTTAATGTTGTGCTTGTGCATGTCTTATTTAAAGAGCATAAAGAGGGCTCTTTTCTCCTATTACTTTTTAGGTTATCTGCATGAGCCATCTGAGGTTCCGGTTCTTTGTAGTGATATTTCTTTTTGCTTTCATGTTGGATTTTACTGGAGAAGAGTTAAACAGGCGCAGCAGACTCCATCCAGGGAGAAAAATATATTTGAATAGTATTTTCATGTGGTGGATATTCAGTAAAATGGGAGCAGGCGGTTTTAAACCACTGGTTCTGTTTAGAGTTGTTTTCTTATATAAACCACACTTGTTTGAAACTCAAAGGCAGAAGACAAGTGGGATTGATTTGACTTTTATTTCATTACATGGTCTTTACCTTTTATAGCACTTTGTGTTTGTATAAAACATTGTGTTCTCTAAATAAAGAAAACAGTGAAGATGGTTTGATTTAACTATTTCATAATTTCTTCAAAACATCTTAACTCATTTTAAACAAAAGAAGAAAACATGAAAACTTTATTTTCAGTGTCTTATATGAAACACAGAAGCATAAATTAAAGTGACTGAATGAATCAAAGAACATGCTGATGGAAAACAAACAAACACTTTAGTCCTAGCACAAAAAGCTCCACAAAAAGATTCAATACACATTCAATCAGAAAGAGCTGCTATAAAGTCTGAAGAGAGGTGCTGTGTTAAAGCATTGTGCTGCAGTGTGTTTAGGGTGACCAGTTATGGCAATGAAAGGCATTTTTTCATTCTATACAAACGTGATGTTTAATAAGTTGGCAGCTGCAGCAGCCCTGGGTGCTGCTGATGGTCTCCACGGTAACACAGATAACAGCGCAGTCATTTTCCATATCTTACAGTCTATTATATTCAAGGATTAGTTCTCCTTCCCCAAAAGGTCAAACATAAAGTCAAGCCAAGTCCTCCTCCTCCTCCTCCTCCTTCTACAGTGATGGAGCATTTCTCTTATAAACCCGTGTGATGACCTTTGTTGACATGCTTTGATAGATGCATACCTCCCACTGAGGACAACAAACCTCATATTCTCAAATAGGCCTGACACTGATTTATATTTGGTTTGGCTGTGATTACATTTTTTTCATATTGTACATCGAAAATCACTGTTTCATCTCCTCTTATATTTACAGTAATTCAATCATCCCTTAGTCAAAGACAAGAGACATATAATGAAAAAGATTAAATTATACAAGAGTTCATCCGTTGTGTTCAGGAATTTGCAGTATTTTAAACATTAATTCGGCTGTTTAGTTCCAAAGATTTTAGCATTTGTCAGGGGGCAGCCTCAATATGTCAGGGTCTTAACTCATAAACCATCCTAAGGCTAAAAGTTGCTCCTATAGCTTGCAGAATTTGGGGAGACTTCTGAAAAAGTTGTGCCAGTCCCAACTTTAGGACTCCCTTGTTGTACGAAAAAGACCCAACTGCTAGTTAATGGGAAAGCAGGTCTAATCCCCGCGTGTCTTATAATATAAAAATGACAAAATTATTCTTCAAATAATTTACAACAGAAACTTTGGTGGAACAAAGTGTGACAAAGTGTGACAACCAAACTTAATTATTACAAGAAAAACATGCAATATCTCTCAATGGGCGTATTGTTTTTAAAGCCCAAAACCATTTCAGCAGTAAAAGTTGTTCCTAAATCCAGAAAACAGTCCCTTGTGTCATTAAGACCTGCTCTCAATCACAGATGTGGTGAGTGTAATGTGACATATCAAAAACACAAAAATCATCATCCATATTTATATGGCTGTTGTATTAGAAAGTAGTTTTAAAAAGAGTCAAAGCAGCTTACCATCAAATAACACCTGCTACCACTGCCACACAGGCGATACACAGCTCTATTTTTCATTCAAACCAAATGATCTCAACAACCTCACCACCCTTTGATTGTCTAGCTTCTGTTTGTTGAAGCCATACAAATTTCCTCCATCTCAACCCGGAGAAAACTGAGGTCCTTGTATTG